GATGTTCTATGGATTTGCTTATAGATAAGGGATGGGATATGGGATGAAGAGATATCTGTTTATAACCTTTAGGGGAGTGAAGTGTTACTAAATTTGTTTATACTTGTTGTGATGAAGGTTGGAAGTCACTTCTTTATATATTCTTTTTCTTTATTATACAATCTTTCTTTTCTTTTTCTTCTTCTTCCTGCCACTTTTTATTCTTATTTTCCATTCTCATATCTTTTGTCAGTTTAGTTTGTATTAGTTTTTACTGCTCTAATTAAAATTCTTAATGAAAATTATATTCAAATATAGTTTATTTTTCTCTTTTTTCCTGCCACCAAAAAACATGTACATATTAGTAGGTTGGGGAAAGTTATTTTGACTCCAGCAACTGGATTTTGTATTTCCAGAAATGAAGAGTTTGCTTGGTCCTTCTGAAAAAGCCTCGGAAAGGCTTTACTGTGACCTAATACATTGTATACTTGATAAAAACTCATTTGCATGCCTGGCAGTTTCCTATCAGTCCATTTAATAACAGAACCTAATACAGACCTACCAGTCCTCAGCTGAAAATTTCCAGATAAATAGTAGATAGCAAAAAAGAGATCCGAAACCCATCTATTTTGGTGGTAGCCTAGAGTTTTGCATCAACCTCTGGACAATGCAAAAAACTTTGCAGTGATTTTGTAAACCTGAGTTGGCTAACTAAAGATACTGTCTCTATCATTTTTGGATTTTTTTTTTCATTTTATGATGGTGATTGCTATCTATATTTTTTAAGGACAAGTTTTCCTAAAAACTTGTTTTCCTTTTGGTTTCTAAAACTGCTCTCTAATGTACTAAGGATTACTTTTTTTTTTTTTTTAATCCGCACTCAATCATTACTGATTCCGCGGCGACTGCCTGGACGAGTCCCTGCAGTTTTCACGGCAAGGTGTTTTGGAAGTGGTTTCCCACTGCCTCCTTCCTAGAGCAGAGCCCAGCTGGCGAGTGCAGGAGGCGGGGTTTCCATTGCTTCGTGCCTTTTTCGGGCGTGCGCGGCTTCCACGTTGCCGGCAACTTGGTCCTGTCTCCCATGCAAGCGCCACCAGCATTTTTCCTCCCACCAGGGTGAGAGTTCCCATTTATCTACTCATGTAGGTTTTCAAGCTGCTGGGTTGGCAGGAGCTGGGGAGGAAGCAGGAGCTCACTCTGCTGCGTGGAGCTGGGCTCGAATCGCTGAAGTGTCGACCATTTCTGGCCGGCAACTTTCAGCGTCATTAAGCCGTTGTGCCATCGCGTCCCCTTAAGGATTACTTATAATTCACAATTTTTAAGTGCTATTTTTTAATCTTAGATTTACTTGAATAGTTTCTATTCTACTACTGCAAATACCTAATATGAACCCCATAGTTAATAAGTAAATATTAATAATGTACAATGACCAAAATAACCCCCCCAAAGGACAGATTAAAAAAATGATGATCACTTCCACTGTAGAAGAAAAATAGGAAATTAAATACAACAAAGAGTAAAGAAAACAAAGTTCCAACAATCCACTTTATGCCAAAACAAACACAAAAAGCACATTCCCATTTTTATTCATAGCAGAACAGAAACATACTGGGCACAAAACCAAGTACAGCATAATAAAGGTTCTGATTGATAAATTGTTCTATTCATTTTGGACATAGCTTTCTAAAAGAACCTCTTCATATAACTGATGTTCAATTACTGATCAGAGAATCAAAATTAGTCAACTGGCTAATAAAATCAACCACAAGCTAGTAAAGCTCTATTTGTAGAGCCTCAGGATCTCCAACTGCCTGCCAGAAAGGGGTGGGGGAAGGGTAAGAATAGCAAATTCCAGAAATAGACTCAATGTTGCTATAAATTTTGATCTCGGCATTACACTTTGAATGCAACAACAACAAAAAAATCTATCCAAGCATCTTCTTGATAAAATAGGTAAATTTGTTGCATATCAAGTAATATGGACAAACAGCTGAAAGTATATATGACTTTAATATTTTAATATCTGTGGCAATTTATATCATTCGTGAAATAATGTCATGACATTCTGCAAATGATGCAATTTTCATTATTTACATACTGAAATCACAATAACCAGAATGAAAGATATGATGACAGCTGATATAACTCTATTAAACGTTTAAACATTTAAAGCAAAATTCTATTCTATCTTTCTAATAAAAAACAAAAACAAAAAGCTTATGATTATTCTTCATTACATGCCATTTCATTGCTAGCATCTAAGCAGATAGGTGTATTCTCACCTTTAGGAATAGTTATTTGGCATCCTAAGTCACAGTCCTGCTGCAACTGATAAAAGGCCACTTCTTGTAGTCGGGCACGCTCCAGTTCCGAAAGACTCTGAATAGGAACGGACTTCAGCCGAACACTGCGCCCTGACATGCTGTTCCAAGTGAAATCACCCTATAAGAATTCAAGCAGGAAATTTGTAGTGTCACATAAACATCAACAAGGAGCAAATTATTATTTTCTTATGTGGGAGATTGGCTGGGAAAGAAATGGAGAAGTCAACATCTTTTAAATGGCAGCTCAATCCAGATGGGGAGAGATCTGGGAAAAAGAGACTCCACCTTAATTAATTCACTATAAATGATGCTGGGAAATTTCTGATACAGCTTCCAAGATACTGTATTTACCTTTTTAGTGTTAAAAATAACTCATTGAAATCTATGTAGTTTCTGCTTCCTTGGTCTTGCCACCTACTTGGGCCTTGAAACTTATACCACACTAAAAATATGTCTCAGGCTTTATTAAAACATACTTCATATTTGCCTGCAATGACATTCAATTTTAATTTGCTTTATCCATTTTAAAAAATGGATCAAACTTTATTTATCATCTAAGACCAAAGAGCAGTAATAATGCAAGTTCCAAAGAAAGAATAAAGAAAAAGATATAAAAATAAAATCAGATGAAATATAATAATGTAACACAGTGATAAAACATTGAGATCTGAGACAGCAAATAAAGGAATATGGCTAACTTCAGATTTTTTAAAAAATAGCCTGGTTTTATATATGGTGGAGAAATGTATTGATGTGGATGTTGGCAGCCATCTAATGGGAATGCTTCTACTGAACAGAGGGTTGGATGTGATTGTTTAAATGGTCCCTTCAAGTTTTATGATTTTATTATTCTATTTGAAAAAGGGACACATATTAATTACTTTAAATCTTGCACCAACTGAAAGAAATTTTCTATGCAGGAGAAAGTGTAAAATAATTGTTAGGCATCTTCACTAAGATGTCACTGTATGTTCAAGGAAGTGGGGGTGAAATTTTGAATCAGACTTTTACTGAAGTGTATCACATTTTATTGTAAACAATTGATAATGGATTAGGGTAAGTTTTTAAGGGGAAGAGTGTTTTATTTATTTAATAAAGCAGAACAAAGAGAAAAGCAATAATAAAAAAAAGTGAAGCAATGAAACAACAAAAATTATATATATAAAGATGCACTCTCTATGAAGTTTTAGTAAAGAATGATCATATTTTATTGTAATTGTCTATACATGATCTACATCTGTAAGCAACTCATAAGTTGCAAATAACATCAAATCTTCAATCCACTGAGTAACTGGAGCCACAAATTTATCTTTCCAACATTGAAGGACAAGTCTGTTAAAAACAGTAACAGCACGGAGAATCCATTTCTGTTGTTATCAATTTTCATGTTATGTTATAGTATACAGTGGGGCAAAAAAGTATTTAGTCAGCCACCAATTGTGCAAGTTCTCCCACTTAAAAAGATGAGATAGGCCTGTAATTTTCATCATAGGTATACCTCAACTATTTTTTGCCCCACTGGAAAAGAATATGGGCATCCAAATATATTAACCTTTGCCTTAAAGTCAAATTAATATATGTAATTACTTTTTCCCAGGACACAATAATTTTAGGATATTGCCAAAACACATGTTACTCATTCTTTTTCTATATAAATGCAATGGGATCCAATAAATCCAAATAAGTAAGCATTGCTTAATTTACTTTTTCATCAAAATAATAAATCAGTACAGTGGAGTCTAGCTGCTTAGCAATGATGTCCTTAACTTGGTTTGCTAATTTAGATATTGAAAAAGATTTGCTTAGTCAAAACTACAAGCTTGAACCTTAAATTCTTATTTTGTTTTACATGTATTTTTAATCCATGAATTTATAGACATTTGAGTGTCTAAACTCACATTACGTTACTGATGTATTTACATTATCCTTGTATTTCACATATATATTTTTTGTATGCATTCAAAAAGATAGCATGTTCTGTGGGCACATCATGGCTCAGACAGTAGTTTATAAGACTATATTTACTACTTCAACAAGATTAGCCAGCATTTAATATACAGCAAAAAAAAATCATAACCAACCAACTTGAACTAGGACATCCACCTCTAACCATAAAATGTTTTTTGACTGAAAGTCAGAAGCGCTACATTTTTATGCTGTTACATTCAGTATGTGTTCTTAATAGTTTAATGTGAATCTACAAAAATGCCTTAGAGCAAATACTATGCATGAAAAAGCATGAAAAAATACATTTTGTATGTTTTAAATCACATGCAACATGGAATGTTTAATGAAACTCTGCTCCAAAAAACCAGCTACACAAGTATTTTGTAACTGCGATAGTTAAATCAGATTTGTTATTATCACCAGTATTTAACTTTCTGCTGGGGGTATTGTACTGTTATACTGTTCTATTGTGGCTTCCAAGTTTATATTCTTTGGAGATTTTAATCTAATGTTTATTTTTTAGAGTTATACTTCTATATTTTGTAAATCACCAAAAGGGCTTTTTTTAGTGGGTGGTAACTGTTCAAAAGAAATAGAAGTTGTACATGAGGTATCCCGCAACATTCACTAATGAATTGGTGCAATAAAGAGTATTTTTTAAAGGAAGCTGTGCCTATTCTAGAGTTGTTGGACAACCATTTTGTATCATAAAAGCAAAAGTATTAATTTACCATCTTGAAGACAGCTTATTAAGGTTTCCTAGAAGACTAAGATCCATCAAAAGAATAACAGAATGTAAATTTGGAAGAGATCTTTGAAATTATTTAGTCCAAGCTCTGCTCAGTGCAGGAATGTTCTACCTCAGCTGTCCTATGCCATGCCATACCATGGCATACCATACCATACACCAGAGTTACATTATTTCTTAAGTCCTATCCATTATCACTGGCAGTCTGATAATTATAACCCTCAATTCTGTGAAAAGAACACCAAAGAAAAAATATTTTGCTATTGTTCATGTACTCCCAACTGCACTACGAAGCAACCATGCATGTGGTAACTTTTGTCATGGACTCGGAATTCTTTCTTCAGTCAGTCTAACGTTATTGTGATGTTGTTTGTAGAGACTGTATCTGTCAAAATATTTTGGAGAAAGTTTATGTTATGAACACTTGAATCAGATGATCTACTTAATATGACTAAGAAATGTTTATTGTTAGTTGCTGCTTTATTTGGAAACTACAACCCGACTATTAAAACAGACAAAATAACATAAAATTTCACACTGTTCATAAAAGGGGCTATAAAATAAAGCTTGTACAACAAGGTATACAAAAAGCAATTGTGTTTACCATATACTTTACATAATTATTTCTTAGAGAAAGGTAAAATGTCATTTGTGGTTTCCCCCCCACCCCCATAGAAAACATAATTGAAGGAAAAAAAGTCCAAGATTAAGGAGAAAAAAAGAAGCGAAGCTGATTGGCACACAGAATCAGTTATGGGGACCTACCAAGAATACAGGTCCACAGATGCATCACCAACATGCAAGTTTTCACTCCTTCAAAACTGACCTCTTTTTCTATTGTGAAAGACTACATTAGACTATTGTAAGGGCTACGCTAACTTCTAAGGCCCACACTACACAATACCAAATTGTGGATTCCTAATCAGTTTCTAAAAACTCATTCTCTTTATTTTGCTATCTGTGCTTATTTTGGTACTGATTAATCTGAAATATGAGACTAGATATAAGGATTTTATCAAAATTAAAGGCTAAATCACTCTTTCCCTATCTGTGGCCCTCAAATGTGCTGGGACTAAAATTTTGAGGATGATGGCAGAGAACAATGTAAATTACAATTCCAAACCATTTGGAGCACCATAGTTTAGCAGCCTAAATATTTTTAAAATTTCATTCTCTAGCACATTTTAATAGTTATATTGCTTAGTCTTATTTTAATCATTTCCATCTGTACACCCTCCCAATGAGTTGGTCCCATAGTGACTGGAGAGTATGGAAGTTACAGGTCTCTTGTGTATGGGCAACAGCTGACAGAAAGCTATTTGAATTCAATACCTGCAATTAAGCTAAACAGAATATCCATGTATATGTGCAGAGCTGTTTCCTTCCCAAACCAGTGGCAAGTTATACTTTTTCACACATTTGTGCATAGTTGCAATAATAAGTAAGGTTCACGTACCCTTACCTATTATTTCAGAATGACATTCCTTTTTATGAAAATATTTTAGGAAGTGTGAAAGCAATACATGGAACCTTAATCAGTGGATACAGATATAATACTTCAGAACATTTTGGACTGGAAAGCACATTTAAAATTAAAAATGAATGTATCTATTTTATACATCAATTTAAACAAATGCATATATTTGGAATTTTGAGTATACGTAGTTTGTATACGGATAGTCCGTGAGTTACAATGGCAATTGGGGCTGGAATTTCTTAGTGAGGACAATCCGGCGCTTCCCATTGCATCATTAAGTGAGGATTGCATGGGTCGTTAAGCAAGGACCTTATGTGACTGCGATGTGGGAAGAGGCACTGAAACTGCGTCCCAGGCAATCAGGACAGTGGACAAGAGCTATGGGAGGGTGGATGTATGTGCCAGTGCTACAGAGTACAGGCTGATGGGTGGGCACTGGTGCTACGGAGTACGGTGGACACTACTGGGCACAAGATCCCCATGCTGCCCAGGAGTTCCTCAGGGAGAAAAAGCAGCATAAGCAGGAGTGACTTGCAACCTCCTGCTGGCTTCCCCATTGACTTTGCTTGTGGGAAGCTGGCAGGGAAGGTGGCAAATGGGAATCATGTGACTGCAGGACATTGCAACCACTGAAACTGTGAGCTGGTTGCCAAGCGCTGAATTGCAATCACATGACTGCAGGATGCTGAGACTACCTCTATAAAAGCCAAAGTTTTAGGAGCTTGCTAGTCTTGGGAATTGAGGTGTGTGTTAACACAATGCCAAAGAGTAAAGACATCAGCAATGATCTTAGAGAAGCAGTTGGTTGCTGCCCATCAGTCTGGGAAGGGTTATAAGGCCATTTCCAAACAACTGAAAGTCCATCATTCTACAGTGAAGAAGATTATTCACAAGTGGAAAACATTCAAGTCTGTTACCAATCTTCCCGGGAGTGGACGTCCCAGCA